GACACTAGCTCTTGGCTGCCCCCAATCCAAAAGTGCCAGTCACGTCGCATAGCCCTCATTTATATCCCCCGGCTCTCCGTTCCCAACGCGCGTCAATTTTGGTTAGACCCGAAAAGCAAGCCTTTCGGGCCGCATTGAAATACCAAACCCTTCGGCAAAGAAGGGCACCTTCGTTTTTGCAATCTCTGGGGATGGTCGATTTAAATCGAAGTCCCCCAAAAACAAAAAACAGGAAACAAACCTAAGCCGCGAATCCAGAGCGAGCCACTGAAGTGAGCAAATGAGGTCCTTTTTGTGAGCCTCTAGATGCCTGGGTATGGCTCAAAAAGCCGGTACCAAAATGGAACCCTGGTAAGTGGAAACATGGACCAAAACCTGCGTAACCCTAGCTCTTTACTTTTGAGCCACTGCCACCTCTAGGCTGCCTCTGAGCAAAACACATAGTCTACTCCCCCGTGACGTGAACAGGGTGAGGGGCTAAGGGCGAACGAATTTGCCATGCTCTTCCTTTTCAAGGGACCCGTTGTCAGGCTCCATGTCTGCCATTTGCTTAAGTCCCCGGGAAAATATATATATATATATATATATATATATATGTGTAATGTTAACACTTGATTAATCAACCGGGCTTCAATAATGGCAAGTTTTTTCCTTATTCTGGTTCGCGCCCATTGTTTAGGGGGACCAGAATAATTGAAAGTTGTTTTGCCCGGGTGGAAAATTCAAAAAAATCTCCACAAATCAATTCCCCTTTCAATTGGTGGCCCACTTGCTTAAAAGCATCCCCTTTCAATTGGTGGCCCACTTGCTTAAAAGCATCCCCTTTCATTTGGTGGCCCACTTGCTTAAAAGCATCCCCTTTCAATTGGTGGCCCACTTGCTTCAAAGCATTCCCCTTTCACTTGGTTGCTCAACCACAGAACCCAAAGCCAGCTGAAACCTCAGAAATTGAAAACCATCCCCAGCCCTGAAACTGCAAACTCTTTATTAAACCGTGTTAAAAAATGCCAAAAACAATCAGGACAAGGGTACCCCTCACAGACCCCACTGAACCACAATGATGTCATTGTTTCAGGGGACCACAATAGTTGCAAGCCCCCAGCCCCCGCTCCCAGAAAATAAGCTATCAGTTGCTTTACTCAAAAGTACTCCCCTTTCAATTGGTGGCCCACTTGCTTAAATGCATCCCCTTTCAATTGGTGGCCCACTTGCTTAGAAGCATTCCCCTTTCAATTGGTTGCTCAACCATAGAACCCAAAGCCAGCTGAAACCTCAGAAATTGAAAACCATCCCCAGCCCTGAAACTGCAAACTCTTTATTAAACCGTGTTAAAAAATGCCAAAAAACAATCAGGACAAGGGTACCCCTCACAGACCCCACTGAACCACAATAATGTCATTGTTTCAGGGGACCACAATAGTTGCAAGCCCCCAGCCCCCCCTCCCAGAAAATAAGCTATCAGTTGCTTTACTCAAAAGTACTCCCCTTTCAATTGGTGGCCCACTTGCTTAAAAGCATCCCCTTTCAATTGGTGGCCCACTTGCTTAGAAGCATTCCCCTTTCAATTGGTTGCTCAACCACAGAACCCAAAGCCAGCTGAAACCTCAGAAATTGAAAACCATCCCCAGCCCTGAAACTGCAAACTCTTTATTAAACCGTGTTAAAAAATGCCAAAAAAAATCAGGACAAGGGTCCCCCCCACAGACCCCACTGAACCACAATAATGTCATTGTTTCAGGGGACCACAATAGTTGCAAGCCCCCAGCCCCCCTCCCAGAAAATAAGCTATCAGTTGCTTTACTCAAAAGCATTCCCCATTCAATTGGTGGCCCACTTGCTTAAATGCATCCCCTTTCAATTGGTGGCCCTTTGAATGGCTACAGAAAGAACTGAAGGGAAGTGGTTGCAATACTAAAGTAGTATTCCAAAAAGTCTGCTGAGGAAGAAGTGGTTGCAATACTAAAGTAGAATTGCAAAAAGGAAGTGGCTGCAATACTAAAGTAGAATTGCAAAAAGGAAGTGGCTGCAATACTAAAGTAGAATTGCAAAACGGAAGTGGCTGCAATACTAAAGTAGAATTGGGCCCCAAAATCCTCCATTGTTTGGACGTCCCAAAAGTGCACCCCCATTGTTTTGGCGCTTCCATTGTTCAGGGGGGGGGGCCTTTATTAATCAAGTGCTAACATTATACATATATATACATATATATATATATATATCCAGCAGTGATAGATTCCCTTAAAAACCAACAAGGCGGAAAAAACATCGAGGGAGGGAAGGTTTTACAGCACCCGATCGAATTTGTCGGCGAACGGATTCTTCTCAATCGGGCGCCTTGCAATCAACCGCCGTGCCCAGAACCCTCGGACTGTGGCTTGGAGAGTCCGGCCTCAGCACAGACTACACCACGGCTCAATCCCATTGCTCTCCGTTGCGAAATCTGCTCCCCTGCCAAAAGTGAATAACCTTCAGTGGTTTAATGGAAAATCATGGAAAACCCAATAGTTGGCAAAAAGTTAAAGTCCGAACATGCAAGCAAAATGCACCAAAGATTACTTGCTGGTGCTCAGCAATCCCTTCCCCCTTTTCCTAGATAGACCCTACTGACAAATACTATTTTTCCAGACTGGCTGAAACAGCCGGGTCCCCAATAGTCCCGGCCTTATTAGGGGGCTCCTTGCACCAACCCAATACTAAATTCTAAATGCACACCTACCCTTTACTAATTTACATGTATTTCTTGCATTGTAATTCTAAGTTTTAATTGCGCCCCTTACTTTTGAACTGCAAAAACGGAAAAAAAGAAACAAAACCAAACATACTTGAACGGTTTTATTTAAATTTGTTACTCGGAAAATTGCGGTTTTGAGGTTCTTTGTGTCCAGGAAGGGGGGGGGCCATTTGGACCAGGACGGAAGAGGAAATCCGGCCGACCCTATGACACCCTACTGAATAGATCTGGTTTGTCCCCCAGCGAGTGTTTATTATTAGGGGGGCCATAGGTGTCTTTTTAGGTGAAATAGATGGCCCTGGTAGATGATTAAACCACCGGGTAAACCAGGGCCATCTATTTTTGCTACCAGAACAACTAAAAAGGACACCTATGGGGGGGGGGTCGTTTATTTTTTAGGGGGAAGGGATTAGGGATGACCTGGAGTTTTGGGAATGAATCTACGTATTCCCTTAAAGGAAACCATAGGCGATGGTTTTTACGGGTCATTCCAACTCACCTGCTGAGAGCCAGCAAAAATAGTTGATGGTGTGGAGCCTGGTGATTTCGTGGTCGCAACAATTGAATTATAGCAGTTTAGTTGGGATTTCCCACTAAACCGCAATAATCAAAAATGCAAAATGAGTCACAATCAAAACCCGGTATTAAAATGGTCGACCCAGAACCATGTAAAGAATTAGAAAGGCGGCCGCAGCTATTTCCGGCTGGGACTGCCCCTTACTAACCTTCATCTACCCGGGTTTTGATTGTGGCTCAAATGTTTCCCAACAACACCATGTTTTAGAAGTGGTCTCCCATTTACCCACAAGAAGCCAGGGTTCAAATCCCCAGTTCCCACCAATCCAAACTACCAACCAAGGGTTATCTGATGGACGGCTCAACACCCCTGTTCGGAACATGTTGGTTTTGTTTCTTGCACAGCTGCCGGGAAAAAAAACATCGAGAAAAGTGTTCAAGTCTGGTGGATCTAACCAAATATCAAGCCAGAACACCCTGATTCACTAATTTAGGTGGCACAGAATTGCGCGGACCAACGAGGGACCCCACCAAAAGCGAAAAAGAGGCCATGAACACACCACGTCCAACCACAACACAAAACACCAAACTCATAGCAAAGCACCAGCACGCAGAAACAAGAGTGATGCGTCAACCACGACTCTGCTCATCCAAGCAGCTTTTGTTAGGTTCCATGTGATGAGCCAATGAAGCGAAGCAACCCGGCAGCGTTGTTCAGATGGAACCCCGCCGTTTGAGGCACGCGACACGCTCATGATATACTGGCACCAGAGTGGTAAAGACAGGGAACATGGAACGCATGCGACTTGAGGATCTTTGAGCCAGTGTGAATGCCTGACACTACCACAAAACACTGACCGGGTATCATTGCAAACCGATACCGCCCCTGGCTCTGCAATAGCGCCCCGCAACTCTGCAAAGCCGAGAGGGAGATCATCAAAACAGAGGTCCCATTAATATAGCCAGTTGGCACCAAGCTCGAGCAGCGCGTATGTGGCGATGCGTCAAACAGAACGGCTGATTCTCTTTTCAAAAACTCCAAGGGCCACCATTTGACACATGAGCAGCAGCCAAAACAGTTCCCGTTAATGATATTCTGGGAAGTTAAATTCTCGGCCCTGTTCCACATCTCAAGTAATCATGATGTTTTTTTTTTATGTAACATATATGTTGACCCCTGCAAAGAAACCTTTTTAAAGTCTAGTTCAGGGTCTCAAGGGCTATGGTTCTGTGTCGTTCAGTCTAGTGCTTGCTGCTCCTTACCGCAATTGGCCTGCCTCATTCTTGAGTTTGATCGGTGAAAAAGGCCGGCCCTGCGGCTAACCTTTGCATAAGACTACATCCAACGACCAACAAGGGAGCTGCCGCTGTCTGGGCATTCCTTTTTAGAGGACCCCCCCCAAACTGGCGGCCCCGTCTTTTTGTTCCTCGGAGCCACCCATTTTAATTGATTCGGGGCTTCTCAGGCTGGCACTGTGAGAAGCTCCTGCCGCTCTGGTAGCACGCCTGAAATCCATGCGCCCCCGAACAAGAAACTGAGGTCACGCTTTTGACAGCTGGAAGTGAACGTCAGAAACTGGCTGGTGGCTTTTTGCTTTAGCCTACGACTTGACTTTGATACTAGAATCATGAGGCCAAATATAGGCAAGCCTCTGAACCCCCCCGCCTGGTCCATCATGTTCCGTGTCTTGGCGCCGTCCTGGAAGCCACAACCACAATTGAAGGAAGAACCTTGTGGATTCATAGGGGGTCT